TCTTGATGACTTGCGATTTGGAGATTTTATTTAGCAGTCATGTTATGCGTTTCAAATTATCTGAGAATCGAACTTTGTATTGTTTCTAAATGTGTACTGCTCTAACCCGTACAATATGAGAGGTTTAGAGCTTTATCAATGATTGTATCATGCGGTCCAATGACTCCAGTGGTAAACCTTGCCTCCTCCATCTAAAAAAGATAAATCATATTTGACCAGAGAAAAAGTCAAACCTTACAGATTACACAACAATTAGGCAATTCTGCCCTATGCAACAGTAACTGTGAAGAGACAAGCATGCATCTCTTCTTTTGAGTGTCCATTCAACACAAACTGTTGGCAGTCTATCTCTATCAGTTGGAACATGCAGCTACAACCTTTAGACATTGTCGTTGAACCCCTGAAATGATTTTGGCAATCACATCTTCAAAGAAATTGTAATAACAACAAGCTGGATTATTTGGAAAACTAGGAACAGAGTCATTTTTGACAATGCATGTTTCTCTTTAAATATCTGGAAAGAAGACTTCAAGAAAGACCTTGGTTTGGTTTGTATCAAAGCCATGAAAAATGTAAAGACTGCTTTAACTTTGTGGAGAGAGATTATCCCTTGATTGTAATCTACTTTTCTTTAGGGCTTTGGAATCCTTGTAACTTGTACAAATATATACATAATAAAAAATTTAAGTACAGGCCTCTCCTGCTGATCCCTCAAAAAAAATTTAGAGCATAAATCTTAAATCAATAGATTTTGTATTGAAAGTGTTGATTCATGTTTGAACAATTAACTACATATTATAAAAAATAAATAAAAGTTAAAACCTACTTTGTATGACTTTCACCCTAGTTAAATATGATTCTGGTTTCGAGATGGAAGGAGGATTTCTCAAGTAAACACTCCACATTATATTCTCATAGGACTCACAGTTCATATAGCTTACTTCTGTGTTCTCTTAGGGATGTAGGTGGACTTGATCACTGGGAACCGCTTGCATTCCTAGTTTTTCCTTTTATTTATTTCTCTTGTCTCCTCCATTCACTCCATCTATTCTCTTGTTCTCTGTTCCCTCTCTATCTCTATGGCTCTATGGTTAGTGTTGGAGCATGCCTCCTAGCTAGCTCGGTCCTCACCATATTCTAACCCTTCCCGCGCAAGGCCCCAAGCAGGGTCGTTTTAGAGGGGAGGGCAGGAGGTGCGACCACCAGGGTTTAGGCCGCTCGGGTCCATGAGTATATATGTATGTAGTAGATATATAGCCATTATAATAAAGCATTGAAGGCCCATGTATTTAGTACAACAACTCATGAGAACTTTGAAGGCTAGCGTCCTTTCTATTCTCGATCGATGTTGTTTGTCTTTGTTGCGGTCTCGTCCAACGCCCGACGCATCACGTGTCGACAAGTCGATGAATCGTCTTCTTACCCAGTCGCGCGAGTGCGGAGTGTCCAACCCCACCGCCCGTTGCGGACGACCGGACGTGTGAGTGTGAGAAGCAGAACCGCAGATGTTTGGCCTCTCATCACTCTGTCAACGAATCACAATTCACGGTTGCCAATTAGATCAGTCCGTTACTGCTGCATTCATTTAGTCGATTGCTTTTTTTGTTATTTCTTTAGGGATTTTAGCGTAGCTTTAGTTTTATCATTTTGTGCAGCTTTTAGGCTTTGGTTCCCTTCTATTAATATTATAGAAGTACTATAGGCCATTGATTAGGTGTGGGTAGGTGTATCTTACTTCTGGTGTTTATTTGTTTATTTTTAATTCATTATGGTGATGGACTATTCTAAATTTTTAATTTATATTTATTTTGCATGTTAGATGTTGCCTAAAAGAATTTACCTGGTGCTCAGAAGAATAAGTTTAATAAGCTATTATCATCTACTCCCTCTGCCCTGAATAAATATTCTTAGCATGTTTAGGACACATTAGTATGACAAAAAAATATCATACTTCCCTTCGTTAACTGGAGTAGTTACACACTGATCGGTGATTGTTTCAATATCACACTAATTATAGTATTTACTACACACATCCAACTGTATAAACTCAACACTAGATTGGAAGATGGGAGGGGGTGCAATAAGTGCGAGGAGACTTTGAGAAAAATAAATAGGCTAATAGACCATTTATCTTGCTAGAGATTGATTTATTTATAGATAATTTATGAACTAGAAATCTATTTATTCAGGGACACCGGCAGCGGGGGTATTTGTCTATGTCTAAGGACTCCTGGCCCCAAGCAGAGCTAGTGGACACCCTCCAGCATACGAGTGGCAAACAGCCACAGCCCACCGCGCATCAAGGTGGTGGACAACCCTTTCTTAAAAAAAAGTTGACAAGGTGCTGAGCATCCGCGGCGTCTCAGCTAGACGCGTGTTGGACCGCCTCTCGTTTTGGGCCATACCGGCGCTGCTGGACCAGGCTGTTGACTTCGTGGAGCGCAGGCGGTGCTACCTGCCGACACCCCCACTTGGGGAGATCCCGCCGACACCTCCCCTTAATTATTTTCCTCCCTCACTTCTCACCAAATTGGGCCCAATTCAATTGTATTTTTGGGCCAGACAGCAGACCAGATAGCAGCCATACAATAAAATCCAAAATTGCTGACATCATCACATATCCCATGCTTTTTGAAGCAGAAAAAGTCATAGCTCCTAAACAAGTATCCTAATTAAAATCCGATTGCACCATCGTGTTCCTTGCAATAAACTCTTCAAAACAAGACCCCCACATGGATACATTTCCTTAAAAAAATTTACGAACATTTATCTCATGATGAACATGTATTTGAAGATAATCGTCGAACATTACATTAATACTACACAAACATCACAGAAAATAGCATAGAACATCATATGTATACTACTTGAACACCATGTATATCATGAAATGTAAAAAATTAAAAAAATAAAAAATAAAATTAGTGAAGTAATTAATTATAGTTAAATAAAAAAAAAATATTACCGAACATCACAAATACATCGTAGAACATCGCATTAACACTACACGAACATCATAAAATATAGCACAGAACGTCGTATGTATACTACGTGAACATCACAAATATCATGAAAATGTAAAAAAAATAAAATTAGCGAAGTAATTAATTAGAGTTAAATAAAAAGAAGAAAAAATGCTACCGAACATCACAAAATATATCTTAGAACATCAATGTATGCTTACTGAACATTACAAAAAAAACATCGTAGAACATCACATTTCTACTCGCGGACATCAAAAAATACATCATAAAACATTACATGTATACTACATGAACATCACGTGTATCTGTAAAACTAAAAAAAGTGAAACATAAATATAAATAGAAAAAAAGAAAAGAAAAAATAAAAAATAATAAAATACGAAAATAGAAAAAAGAAGAAAGAAGAAAAATTATAATAAAAGACCACCAAAAAATGAAAAAAAGAAAGTAAAGGAAAAAATAAAAGAAAAATTAAAAAGGAATAAAAGATGTAAAGAAAGAAAAAAAATAAAAGATAACAAAAATAACAAAGAGGCCACTTATAAAAGAAATAAAAAAATAAAATAAAAAACACACAAAGGAAATAAAAGAAAAATAAAAAATAAAATGAACGATAAAACAAAATAGAGAAAAGAAAAAAGGAAAAAGAAAAGAAAAAATAGAAAAAAAGAGAAACTCACCTACCGAACAGCTATAGAACGACGCGAATCGAAGGCGTCAACGGTATCAGACCGGGGAATCATGGTGGGGATCGCTTGTATGTGGGCCGCAATATGGGCCACACGCTCCTTTGGGCCGCCAGAAATCAGTCACGCGCGTGGGGGCGGGGGATGGGTCCGACTGGTCGGCAGGGAAGATTCCCAGCTCAGCACTGCATGCTGTGTCGGGGTGGAGGGAAACCAACGACTTGACAACCAGCCCAGCAGGGGTGAGTGAGCCTCCTCTACGGGCAAACAGTTGGGTTAAGAGCCCACATGCAGTGTGAGTGTGACCCAAGTCCACCAACAGGAATAGGTGTCTGTCCTTTAATGGTAGGGATTAAACCTACCAAGGCTTTTTAAGGATGGCTCAACCATTCCAATCCTTTTCTTTGGAGGGGGTTTGGAGGAACCTTATTTTAACTGCGCTATTTTGCAAATTATTTTTCAAAATTTCTTAATTTCATCATTTCATAACAAAACCTGCGTAAGCAAGTCATACAGTATAGAGCCAGCGTCGTGTCGCGCGTGGATTTTTAGCGTGTTCGGCTGGTACATATTCAGCTTGTTTCAGCTTATTCTCTCTCACAGAACACTATTGAATCAGTCGAAATCAGCCACAACTGTATCAGCCGAACACGCTGTTTAATGCCTCTAGATTAGGGTCCGCCCACCTTCCCTTTTAATTAGTTCTTTTGGGCCAAATTAAAGGTGGGCCAGGTTTGTTGTTTTTCTTTCATTTCCCGTGCAAAGTGTATAAATATAAATATGATAAAAAGACATGCATGTATTTGGTTCACGCCTCCCATATATTTCGCATTTGTAATGCATGGCCCGTTTGGTTTACAGAAAGAACACACGAAAAATGGAGGAATAATGCAATTCGTATAGAGTTTTTTCACTGCAGTAACGTTTGTATAACAAAGGAATGAGAACGAGACTTTCCTCTGGAACCGGGTAGCGTCTACGTGGTGCAGCTTTGCTGACGTGTCCCTGTGGACTAGCGGACTTAAACTGAACCGCGCACAACGGACTGTCTACATCAACTTAATTACTCTACCTTCATTTCAAAAAAAAAACAGAAAATTACTCTACCTTGCAATATTCGCTACGACTCTTCTTAACATAAAGTACTTGTAATATCTAAATTTCGCTTGTATATATATGTACGTACCAGATTTTAAGTAACCCTAAAGCTAATAATTTGACTAATTGTTCACCTGAGCGATATAAATAAGCGTTCAGGCGCAATGGCTCTCTCCCAAGTCCCAAGTCCCAAGTCCCAACGTATGTAATAGCTAGAGATCGAGGACCGGGGATGGCAGCAGCGATGCCCAACAAGCGGTGGAACCTGGCCGGCGCGACGGCGCTGGTCACCGGCGGGAGCAAGGGCATCGGGCACGCCATCGTGGAGGAGCTGGCGGCGTTCGGCGCGCGGGTGCACACGTGCTCCCGCAACGCCGCAGAGCTGGAGGAGTGCCGCTGGCGGTGGGCGGAGGAGAAGGGCCTCCAGGTCACCGTCTCCGTGTGCGACGTCGCCGTGCACGCCGAGAGGGAGGCGCTCATGGACACCGTCACGGACGTCTTCGCCGGCCAGCTCGACATCCTTGTAAGTAAGCGCAGGATCGGATGCGAACGAATCGATCGTCCATGAACTGAATGGCCTGCCATGCACGCGACGTTAATTTGGTTTTGGCTGCATGCTGGGCAGGTGAACAACGCGGCGCAGATGGTGTTCAGGCCGACGACGGAGTGCACGGCAGAGGACTACGCGCGGATCATGGCCACCAACCTGGAGTCGTGCTTCCACATCAGCCAGCTCGCGCACCCGCTCCTCCGGAAAACCACCGTCGCCGGCGGCGGAAGCATCGTCCACATCTCCTCCGTTGCGAGCTGCCTTGGCGCCCCGAACGTGGCGATTTACTCTGCTGCTAAAGGTATTGTACGTATTTGTATTTCTACCGGCGGGGGCAGAAAAATAATCCTGTGTTCTCTTTTTAACTGTCGTCCTCACCTCACGAGAAGTCAAACGTAATCAACTTAACAAAAATATATATACAAAAATATCAATATTTTTAGTACCATTAGATAGATGAATGGATTTATTTTCATAATAAATTTATTTGGTGATGCAAACATTGCAAATATTTTCTATAAATCCAGTCAAACTAAAAAATATTTGACCGGCATGTAAACTATAGCGATGAATAAACAGGGACATTGAGAGTATACAGTAGTTACAGTTACTAAGGGTAAATAATAAAAAAACAAGAAAGATAGGAGCAGCTCCTTGTGACTACAATAAATAGATTTCTTGGCGAGCTGTTAAATAAAATGTATTAAATCGCGTGTATATATAGGAGGGATGAACCAGCTCACAAGGAGTCTCGCTGTCGAGTGGGCCGGTGATAAGATTCGTGTGAACTGCGTCGCACCAGGCACTGTCGTCACGGATATGGCCAAACAACAAGTACGTATACACTACGTTAAATGGACGGCATCCATGCATTCAAGCTTTGTTTTCTGAAGCACATATTAATTGCGTTTATTTAAAAAACATTCGTATATTAATTATTTAAAAACATTTGTTTCTATTTGAATTTAACCGTCTACTTGACGTCAAACATAAAACTCAGTCACTCTCTCACCGTGTTAATTTGTGGTTGACACAGGTCCCGTTTATCCTGGAGAAAGAAAGTTTGTCGCGTATTCCGCTGCAGCGGAGCGGCGAGCCGGCGGAGATCGCGTCGGTGGTGGCGTTTCTGTGTATGCCGGCGGCGTCCTATGTCACCGGCCAAGTCATCTACGTCGACGGCGGCCGGACCATAAGCGCCTGAGCAGAAAATCACCGGCTAGGCGATGTATATGAATGCAACAAATGGCAGATAAAATTCTAGAGAAAGTTAGCTTTGGTAGTTGGTACCTAGGTACACCTGCCAGGCATGCTCTCATGATGGGTTTGGAGGAACTTTTTTTAACTGCGCTATTTTGCAAATTATTTTTCAAAATTTCTTAATTTCATCATTTCATAACAAAACCTGCGTAAGCAAGTCATATACAGTATAGAGCCAGCGTCGTGTCGCACGTGAATTTTTAGCGTGTTCGGCTCATACATATTCAGCTGGTTTCAGTTTATTCTCTCACAGAACACTATTGAATCAGCCGAAATCAGCCACAACTGTATCAGCCGAACACGCTGTTTGATGCCTCTAGATTAGGGTCCGCCCACCTTCCCTTTTAATTAGTTCTTTTGGGCCAAATTAAAGGTGGGCCAGGTTTGTTGTTTTTCTTTCATTTCCTGTGCAAAGTGTATAAATATAAATATAAATATGATAAAAAGACATGCATGTATTTGGTTCACGCCTCCCATATATTTCGCATTTGTAATGCATGGCCCGTTTGGTTTACAGAAAGAACACACGAAAAATGGAGGAATAATGCAATTCGTATAGAGTTTTTTCACTGCAGTAACGTTTGTATAACAAAGGAATGAGAACAAGACTTTCCTCTGGAACCGTGTGAGCAAGCCTTCTACTTTTGGAAAAAAGAAAAAAAATGCACTCAGCTACTGGAAATTTTTCCTATAGCGCTCGCTTTGGTGGCTGCGTCCTCAATGACTACTAATCAAGCTCACATAGCTGTTCCTCGAAGCTACGTACGTACAGTTCTTAAGAAAGATGCCAAATAAAGATTGCATGCCACTGAACAGAAACGGGGAAAAATTGGGGCAACAAAACCCATCACTGCTCCTCAAGTAGAAGCTCCACTTCCAATCATGGTATTATTATAACACAAGTTTTCACACTAAAAGATGACATGAGCGTGTCAGAGTGTGCCGCTACTTTTCCACCCTTCAAGCAAAAGCCATCTAAGCGTCTGGAAAAATAGAAAGGAGGTGTGAGATATAAAAATCTCAACGTGTAAACTGCTTTAACAACCTATTTAAACTACAAGTTTATTAAGCACCAGTTTAGTCTTCACTTATATGTAAACCAACAACAAAGAGACAATACATCCAACAAGTGATACAACCACATATAAGATAAAGATTAATCACCACTAAACCTTGGAGAAGCATAGCTTCTCACAAACTCTCCCAAAGCCTTATTCCAAGGCTATCATGTCATAGGGCAAGATTATAATGCATATGCAATGCAAATGCCATGTCTCCTGCCTTCATAACCAACAAGGTATGGAGCCGCACCATTGTGCCCTTGAACTGCACACGATCGCAGCTAGCAAGTAGCAACATAACTCGATCCGTATGGCAATGAATGAATAAATATTGAGATGCAATGCAAATGCCATAGAGAAAAAGATAAATAATCACATAACATCATGAGCATCTCTCCATGTAGACAACAAGCCATATTCCATTGAATCAATATGAGCATCATCAAACCAAAGTGTTAGGAACATAGATATTCAAATAGAGAGCATAGAGCATGTGACAATTCCATAACATGGTTGAGATGTAATATAGTGTTGGATTGGTTTCTCGATTTTTTAAGGTGGAGGTAGAATAAAGAACAAGCTAAAGCAAATAACCGCTACGTTTTCTTGACTCTAATGAAGTGATGATCACTCTATGTGCGATCCGAAGCACTACCATCTGCTTAAGTAGTATAATGTCAAAGGTAGAACTCATTTCAACAAATATACATAGTAGGTAAAGCGCTCCTATGCCCCAACCGACATACAAGCAAAACAATGAACAAAGCACCAAGTCAAATGCAACAATGTTGCTTCACCTTTTTGTATCATTTAATCTATTAAGGCTATTGTCGCGTGTTCGTTGCTCGGGTGGACTCAAGAACACGAGAGAAAGACACGGCGATGTATCCTGGTTCGCGCTATCGAGGCTCTACGTCCAGCAGTGAGTAGTTCTTCGTATTCAGGAGCACCCAAATCGAGAGGTTACAACGAAGGAGAAAGGGGTTTGGCAGGGGATCGCTCGGTGCTATCCTATAGCTCATCGACACTAAGGTTTCTTCCCCAGTGAGTAAGGTAAACACTCCTTCTCTTCTTTGGGGTAGGGGAGGAACGCTATTGTTCCTCTTGGTTGCTCTGTGTTTGATTGAACTCGGAATGTCCAGCCCTACTTTCTATGGGAGCCGACCCTCCGGTTATATCTCGAGGAGGTTCGGGCACAAGGCGGTTTGGGGCTATGGTCTATGGTCTTTCGTGCACCGGGGTCTAGGAGGGTGCTTCTTTGTGGTGTGGATGGACCTCGGTGCTCTCATGGAGTTTGGGAGCACGGGCGCCACCTGACGTCGGCTGAGTCCCGACCCTTGGCGGTCAAGGGATGTCAGGGTGGTTCCGTGTCCACCGGTGAACATTCTCGAGGCTTACTTGATGGAGAAGGCGCCATAGCCGTGGGCTGATGAGCGGGCTCAGATCGAGCCACACGACCACTGGAGCCGGTGGAGCGATTTGTCTGTTGTGTCACGCCATCTGCGTGCCACAGTGGGAAGCGGCAGATAGTGCCTCGCGCCCGTTGGTTGAAATTTGGCACCATGGCGTTTTGAGCCCTCCGAGCTCTAGGCGCCAGGAGGCCGGGCTGATGCTCGGGAGGTCGGCCGATGCTCGGGAGGTCGGTTGGTGGCCTGGCGTTGACTCGGCTCGAGGTCAAGCTAGAGGCGAGCTCAGTGCGCAGTTGGTCGAGGAGCTTGGGCCCTGGTTGAGCCCCGGGGCGAAAGCTGAGGGCATGCTCGAGCCCTCGACCTTGACCAGAGGGTACGCGTGAGCGTAACTGATGGGTATTGCCTCCGAGCCCCCAGGTGATCCTAGAGGGATTGGTTGAGGGGTCTCGTCAGTTGGGAGCCTCTCTCCCGGGGACTTAACATACCCCTATATTTGGTTCTCATTAGCTATAATAGCAAACAAATACACTTTCGAATCTACACAACAAGGCATACAACTTTCATGAAGATATTATATTTTATCATGCCTTTTAGATGGCCTAGACTGCTGTTCAAAACAGACTTTAGAAACTGTCTAAGAATTGAGACAACAGACTTTTACATTTTTATATCTCCATATCATTATTTCAAAAAACTATGAACTTTCACCAGATGGCAACCCATTTCATAATCTACAATTTCATATTACTCACATTTGCAGATAGGTTTAGAAAGATGGCCTAATGCATGAGGAAAGCTTAACTGAAAATTTTACAGAGAAAACAATACATCTAACTTTGAAAATCTATATCTAGAGTTCTTCTTATCCAAAAGCCATGATATTTACCAATATGGAAATCTAATGAAAAGTACTACAAATCTCTTATGATTTGTAAAGTCCCATCATGCCTCTAAGGTTCTTCAAAACATCCTACTTCCAGTTCTGTCCAAAACTTGGTCAGAACATGACAGATAACTTAGAAAAATCATATCTCTCAAACCATTCGGAGTAAAATCATGAACTTTATGAGCTAATAGAGATGAAGGTCCTCCACAACTTTCTAGTACATGAAAACACTTATTTCTACCTCTAAGTATCTCTAGTTACTTCCCCAAGAAAATCTGCAGAAGCTGTTCAACTGAAATTCGAGGAACAACATTCAAACAGCTTTTCTCCCCCACTAGTGCACTTATTCCCATGATCAAACTCCCCCCTAAACTCCCAACTTGTGCAGGGAAGGGCAAAATCCAACTCACCTTGGTCACCCACAAACCCTAGGGCAACACGAAGGAATGGAGAAGGACCATTTTTAATCTACATAAAAGATGCACCTCTTCTTGCTCCTCTTGTTGTCCTTGATCCGCTTTTGCTAGTTTCCCCAAGGATTTGGTGCTGTAGAGAGGGAATTAGGGAAGAGCAGCCATGGAAGAGGGAAGGAAGGAGATGAACGTACGAGGGTGTGGTCTGTGTAAATGGAGTTAGGGAGAGTTGGGCTGGCCCAACAAAGCACCTTTTCAAAAAAAATTCCTTCTCTTTTTTTCATAGTGCTACACTAACCTTGATGTTTTGTTTCCAATGTTTATCCTACATTGCTTCCAAAGGCATCTTCAAACTTTCTTTTGTTCTGAAATCCTATAGGATTCCAAATGTTAGGTCATTTCATTTCTACATGCTTTTTTTCATTTCTATGTTTTGTAAATCCTTTGTTCAAAGAGAGCTTTATTATTTATATCTTCTGTAAGATTCTATCAATGGAAAAAACACGGGTTAATATACTGGTATACCTACTCATTCACAGGAAGTCCTTTCTGTTCGTGTGTTTTCCTGTGATATTTAACTGAATCAAGTGAAATTACTATATTATTACTGTCGAATTTCTACGTTCCAATGTAAGATTCTATCAATGGAAAAAACACATGTTAATATACCGGTATACCTACTCATTCACAGGAGTCTTTCCTGTTCGTGTGTTTTTCTGTGATATTTAACTGAATCACGTGAAATTACTATATTATTACTGTCGAATTTCTACGTTCCTCTCAGTGGGCCAAACACCGATATTTCGGGCTCAGAAGATGAGAGGCTCTCGTGTCAGATAAGACGAAGACACTGACAATAGCTGGTAGGCCGGGTAGCGTCTACGTGGTGCAGCTTTGCTGACGTGTCCCTGTGGACTAGCGGACTTAAACTGAACCGCGCACAACGGACTGTCTACATCAACTTAATTACTCTACCTTCATTTCAAAAAAAAAACAGAAAATTACTCTACCTTGCAATATTTCGCTACGACTCTTCTTAACATAAAGTACTTGTAATATCTAAATTTCGCTTGTATATATATGTACGTACCAGATTTTAAGTAACCCTAAAGCTAATAATTTGACTAATTGTTCACCTGAGCGATATAAATAAGCGTTCAGGCGCAATGGCTCTC